TGCAGAAAAAAGGAAGAGTATAGCTTTTAGCGTCTTCACTGTTCATAATTTCTGGGTTTGGTTTGGATGCACAACATAAATTTATTGTCATCCTCACCAAAAAGTTGTTAAAAGCAAAATCTCATGATTTCTCTTTGATTAAACTCTGTTATGCTCTTCGTCTCCGATATGGTTTTTCTCTATTAGCAAAAAAAAACAAAATTCAAATAAAACTTCTTTCTTACAATCTCATCGTTACCTTTTCAGATTCAAATTTAAGGTTTATTTTTTAAGGAAAATCATCATTTCATATCTATCAGACCAAACCCATTTTCTGGTTTTTGTTTTGGTCTGAATTTGAGCTTCTGTTCTTCGGATTGGCTTTTTTTTTGTGTGGGTATTCTCTCTCTGGGTTTTTGTGATGCGCTATAATTGCTTTGGAATTCTTGATATGTGCAAAGGAAATGATCGTCTTGGACAGAAAGAAGCTGAAGGTATTACACAACAATTCATGATGATGTTTCACCATGATTCTAGGGTTCTCAATTTTGTTTATGGGTTTTGGTTTCTTTGTACAAGTTGTTTGATTTGTCTGCATAATTCGACAATGGTTGACCAAATCGATTGAATGTGTTTTTTGCTTAAGCCTTTAGAACATGGAAATTGAATTTGATGATCTCTCACAAAGTTTCTCTTTTTTTGTTTTTTTTGGTATAATCAGAGATTTGCACAGACAATGTGAGTGTCTTTTCGTATAACTCATTAAGATCAGCCACAGATAGTTTCCATCCATCAAACAGAATCGGAGGCGGTGGCTTTGGAGTTGTCTTCAGGGTGAGAAAATGATCACCTCTCTTACAATCTCTAAGCTCAAATCTGCTCCAGAAACTGGTGTTAATGTGAATCTTCTTGCAGGGAGTATTGAGAGATGGAACACAAGTAGCTGTGAAATCACTTTCAGCAGAATCTAAACAAGGGACACGCGAGTTCTTGACCGAGATTAATTTGATATCAAACATTCATCATCCTAACCTTGTTAAGCTCATTGGCTGCTGCATCGAAGGGAACAGTCGGATTCTTGTCTATGAGTACCTTGAGAACAATAGCCTTTCTAGTGTTTTGCTTGGTAACTTTTTGCTTATAAATAAACCACTATCGGATTCTATGTGTCCTGGTTTTTTTCTGATGTTGTTAGAGTGAATTTAGGTTCGAGGAGTAAATATGTCCCGCTGGATTGGTCCAAAAGAGCTGCAATTTGCATTGGGACAGCTTCGGGTTTAGCTTTCCTTCACGAGGAGGTCGAGCCTCAGGTTGTTCACCGTGACATCAAGGCGAGTAATATTTTACTAGACCGAAACTTTACTCCCAAGATTGGAGATTTCGGATTGGCAAAGCTTTTTCCAGACAATGTCACTCATGTCAGTACTCGAGTCGCTGGAACTGTGTAAGAATTGTTTCCGTAAAAGGTATCGGTTTCTCCATCTTTTCTACTGATATTTTCAGCTGATTAAACCTGATATTACAGGGGATACTTGGCCCCGGAATATGCACTTCTTGGTCAATTGACGAAAAAAGCGGATGTTTACAGCTTCGGGATACTTGTGCTTGAGGTCATAAGCGGTGGTAGTAGCAGCAGAGGCGCCTTTGGAGACGAGTACTTGGTTCTGGTTGAATGGGTAAAGCTAAAAACTCTCATACTTAACACACAATACATAGCCCGATCGTCTGCATTAGGTTTAGGATGCAGTTGTTTCAAAAGCTAATTTCTATGTTTGTGTTAGTGTTTTTCACAAAGTGAGAAAAAATACATTTTCAAAATGTGAATGCAAATGCGCCAAATGCAAAACGTTTTCTTTTCTTTGCATTTCCCGTTTTACGTTTGCAGTTATTAAAAAGTTTTCGTTTAACCAGTAGTGGTTGTGGTTTCATTTGGAGATAAAAACATCCAGTTATATAATTTCTAACATGTAAATGTGAAAACAAACAGCATTTGAGGTTTTAATTAATCTGTGTTTTGGACAGGTATGGAAGCTGAGAGAAGAAGGGAGGCTACTAGAGTGCGTGGATCCGGATCTAACCAAGTTTCCGGCAGATGAAGTGACCCGGTTCATCAAGGTGGCTCTTTTCTGCACTCAAGCAGCAGCGCAGAAGAGACCAAACATGAAGCAAGTGGTGGAAATGCTTTGCAGGAAAGAGATAAACCTCAACGAGTCTGCCTTAACGGAGCCTGGTGTCTACAGAGGTGTCAACAGAGGACGCAACCACCGTGGCCTCGGTCTTAGAGGCGGCCAAGGCGGCAGCTCACAGGAGACCTCGTCAACGCAACGTTACAAAGGGAAAAGCTCAGCCGTTCCTCAAGGATCGTCGTCGAACTCTATTATTTCCTTTCAGAGCATCACAGAGATGGTTCCTAGATGATGATTTTTTTCTGTTAATAGAATAGAATTATATTCTTGAGTATATTAATTAGTTTCTGATGTAGTAATAATTTCATATACATATAGTAAATCAATGTCATGAGAGAAAATATTATTAATTCAATAAAACAATGATGATTTGGTTGCTTAGATTGCAGCAAGCACAAGCTCCGAACATTGAATGCTTGCCTGCGAACCACGGACTGACCAATGATCGATAGATTTGTCGAAACATGCAGAACATATGGAGTTTCCAGTGGTTTGAGCAGCTGCATTTCAATGGAGCACTTTCACTTACAATGAAAACTTCTTCACAGGAAGCAAATTGAGCTCATCATCAGAAGTGAACTAAAACAGCTCAAAAATGACTTTGTATTTATGTGTTATGCTTAATTAGATACTATAGGGAAATTGTAATGTGTTTTAGATTTAAAACTTATAACCTATAATAGTTTATAATGAATCACAAAATATGCCCATCTGACCAGTTTTAGTTTAGTTGTCTGACATATATTATATCTATGTCCCAAAGGCCAACTGTTTTAAATAACACTAATTGGCATGATTAGCAACATTCGTGAATTGAATGATTGAAGCTTCGTTAACTTATTATTTACCATTGACAATAGTTAACGAGATAAGCATAATAATACTGGAAACAGATTTTGTGTACATAACTACATGGCTTTCATTTATCAAAAGTCAAGATGCTTTCATAACTTGACAAGTTGTATTTTTTGTGGATGAAAAATGTAGGTGGACTTATTCAAAGCTTTCATTTTATCGCCTTTGTATGGATTATTAAACCATTTATTTTGTATGAAAGATAGATTAGACCATTTTTTTCTAAACAGATGAAACTAAATACAACAAATTAATTAGGCTCCGAATGGTGACAGTGCGGTGCGGGACGGGATAGGTGTGATGCGGGACAAATAGTAACAAAA